TTCCAGTGAAATATATTTATGTTTGTGGTTGTAATGTGACAAAATATGGAAAAGTTCAAGGGGTATGAATACTTTTGCAAACCACTGTAATTGATGGATGGATATAAAGTGTACAAAGTATGTTGTACTTTATGTTAACTAAAGATTAACATAAAGTTAACCCACTTCTATATAAGTGTTATGGTGTTTCAGTGTGGAATTGGACAGTAAACTTTTTTCCCAGATAAATCTGTTTATGTTGGTCAGAAACCTTTGAAGCAGCAGCAGAACAAAGAATGGGATTTCCCACAGAAACTTGCAAGGTCTTGGATAGAGAAGATCACAGATTTCAAGCAAAAGACGGCAGTCTGGACAGAGRAAATGAGCTGAACACATTCTTCAACAGGTTCAGCTCAGGTACAAGCTTACCTTCCTCCTCGCTTGCCCCCAGCCAAACAGACATCCCACCATCCTTTGACCCACAGCTGTCCTGTCAAACCTCAGATGTTTTATCTTCAACCTCAGTCATGGACTTTTCTTCTACATCCACAAGTTTGACTTCAAATCAGGAGATGCTGCTGCGCCCTTTGCCTCCCCCTCCCACTTTTCTATATCTAATCCTAAAGGCCTGTGCAGACCAGCTCTGTGGGATTCTGCAACACCTCTTCAACCTTGGCCTTGACCCAGAAAGTGCCAGTGTTGTTGAAGACATCCTGTCTGGTTCTGGTACCAAAGAAAACTCACCCATCTGCCCTCAATGACTATAGACCTGTTGCCCTGACATCCCACATAATGAAGGTCCTAGAGAGACTCCTGTTGACCCACCTGAGTAAGCAAACAAGCACACATCAGGACCCCCTGCAGTTTGCTTATTGTCATGGAGTTGACGATGCCATCATACAYCTGCTTCAACAAACCCACTGTCATCTGGACAAAGCAGGCAGCACTGTGAGGATCATGTTCTTTGATTTCTCCAGTTCTTTTAACACAATTCAGCCTGAGTTGCTTTGTCTGAAACTCCAGAAGACTCCGGTGGAGGCCTCAACAATC